ATTTGACTCAGTAAAAAGAAGTAGAAATAACTTTTCTTTTCTGTAAATCTATAAGGAATGAAGTTGACCATCTTGATTAGGTATAAACAATGTTCTAGAAACGTGTAGGTTTTAGATCACAATCATGTAGTGAACTACATTAATCATTGATAGCGTATATATAAACATTGTCATTCAGTTTGCAGCTGAAACATGTATAATCTGGAATATTTTACGTAATTAAAAGAAAACATGTATTAATTAATGTATTCACATGAAATCAGTAAATTAACATATTAAGTAGTATTTGATGGATGAACTCCATTGGTAGTATTTATCAACCAAATTTAGAAGGAGAACAAAAACTTGTAATCACATCACGAATATTCATATTTTAGTGTATGTTTGATATATGTTTTTATTCACCTGATTCCAAGATAACGTAACATACAAACTTGTAAAACATAAGTTTTAGTTTATTTAAATTTTTTTCTGACTGTGGAATAGAAGACACGCATTTATTCCTATTTGGAACTCATCAGTTAAATGTAACTGGGAATCAGTGTGATGTTCATATGGCGATCAGTTGCTGAATAGTGAATTATGTTATATTGATCTGATTTTCGACATGCTTATATTAACAAATCACATATTCTGCGGTGTACAGCTGTTTGATCAGAGAGATCGGATGGTCCGCTTAATTTCTTTTGATAGTGTTTGAAAAATGATGTCAGAGCATTCAAAATAAATTAAAAATATTGTTAGTTTTTATCACTAACGTCTTGGATTCTCTAAGTAGAATCACTAAGATAATTTTGAAGATTTGAACTAAATCAACAGACATGACCCGTTGCTTGGCATAGAGGTAGAATAATTCTAGAAGTACTTGAAACAATTTGAAGGAAACCTCCAACATAGATCTATTGATAAAAAGTAGTGTATTTTAAATGGAACTTCTGATGTACTCAACTTTAGAAGTCTGTACTTTAAATGTCAAACCTGATTTTGACTGGCCTTTAACATTACTGATATACATATCTACTCGGAATATAATTTCGAAAAGGATTATTGTGTGGTATACTTCCAAAAGCCGATTGCTGATGAATGTTAAAAATAGTTCTGAGAGCTATCAATATGGTTAGTTACGCGATTTCTAAAGTTTTAAAATTCAAATAAGTAGTTTGGTCTACTAATCGTATTTGTTATAACTTGTCAATTGAATGATTACTTTTTATATCTGGTCGTTGCTGATTGTTGTGTCGGAAACGCTTATCATTTGTACTCGGAACGAGGGACTTCTGCTACTCCCACGACGCGAAAGTAAGAACACAAGCCTGGTATTGTAGTGAAGGAGAATACAGGTGAGGACAACCGAATTATATTTAGCATAACATTACGGAGTTACTAGGTAAAATAGAAAAACCATACTATAATACCTAATTTGTAAAATGTGTTCAATAATGGTCTCGGAATTAATTGTTCTTGCATTTCTATACTAATTGCTTTCTATTCCTTTCTTGATCTTCCCAATCTTCTGCTGTCAGACATTACATTCCTGGCTCGCGTTATTTACTATTTATGTCAATATAAGTGGCACGCACCACAGTATAAGTTAATATATAATAACCTCAAAACACGACGACGACCCTAGTTGAAAATACACTCATTTATATATTGATTGTACATCCATTCTGATTAATAATTAGGATGAAATCACACTTGAGTTATAACAAATCACATACTAAGCACAGTTTATGTCATTTGATTACAAGAATATCGTATATTATACAGAATTAAATATCATATGAGGAAACAGAACAAATACTACATTGAATAATCATTACATTGAATCTAAACGGAAGTAATCTTGAACAAAAACTCATAATGAGTAAATCAATCAAATTTCGACTTTTCTTCCCGTCATATCAGTATTCTAATTTGGGTGTTTTTAATAAGATTAGCTCAATTTTATGATAGATTTCGTACCAGATTAATGACAGCTGAGGAAATCAGGGATTACCAGATATTTTTTGTCTGGATGAATTGAAGTATCCAACTCCTAACCAATGAACTGTAGGTTTAAACTCTTTTGCACACAACGATTAAGTCAGCTAAATGATATTTCTAAATTTTAAGTCACACTGTGATTTTAAAACAGAGACTTTCAATATCCACCCAACTAAGCCTCTTCTTTGATCATCACTTAGAAAACGAAAGCCAATGTAAATTTTATGACTAAGGGTTGCACCAAATAATAAATTGTTCAAGGGACATTTGAAAGGCAAAGGCTTGTATTACACTTTACCAAACACCTACCTTCATGCTTTCTTTTAACTTCTATCTGGAATATAAGTTTTGATTTTTATATTGGCCTATTGTCCTTTTCAGTTGGATTCTAATTTTATCAATATATTAAATATTTACAGTTGTCATACTTGTCTAGTCCTTTAATTATGCTAGAATTCTATCTACTAAGTTACAGTATCGCCAGTAGTCTAAGTGACTCGACATCGAGTGCAATAAGCCGTCTTTGGAATTTGTCAATAAGAAACCTTGAACATGGGTTTCGTGGTCATTTGTACTCTTCAGCAAGGTGTAATTACAATCTTCAGGAGAACTGTTAGTTTCTGTGTGACTCGAACTATTAACACTCAACCTCACAGTCTAAGGCGTTACCAGTAAAGTGTTCGGTTCCCAATTAAACATATATTTGCATATATAATGAATATGAATCTTATTATCAACATGGTTACAAAACTTAAAGTTTAAGGTCAGCATGACGAAGTAAATGTAAACCAGATATTATTGTAATCTCATCCTCAAAGTTTATTGCTCCAATCGTTCAAATGATCTTATTTTATAAAGTAATAAAAGCACGATATTCACGTTATTTTATATAAAACCTGAAAATCTATATTTGATAGTTGTACTTCGACATATTTTCGAAATTGATTAAACTCGTGTGTTAGTATTGATTGATTGTACATTTAGGACATTAGTAGGACTAAAGGCGGAGATTTTTTTCTCTGACGAGACATTAATATTAACATTCGAATTAAGTACATAAGATAAATAAATAAATTGAAAGACAAACATGATTAACTTTTTAAAACTTTAGAAGTCTCACTATAATCATATAATTCATAATACACGGTTATCTTACCACAGTTGGTTTGATATGATTACAAAGCAGCACTGTAGTATTCATTTACATTAAAAGCATATGTATAACAAGTTTGATACAAACTATTGAACTTAAACATGTATAATAGTAAAGGATAATTATTTAAAAACTAAAGTAATAACTTTATACAAAATATTCGTTAACAATAAAATCAGGTGTTTTTTTATGGTGTAAAATTTTATTTTTTTTCGATTTATCAACTAACCGGGAAGAAAGGAAAACTTTTAGTGAAGAAATGGTTCTCATACAAAGTCAGTCTTGTTGTCAAGTGATTTCCTATGTAAAATTACTTAGGCTTAAGAATTAGGTTTTACATTAAATATTACCACTGAATAACATGAGTAGCTGATTATCGTATAAACTGTTTATTAATTACATGATCTTGAGACGACCAGTTGTTTTGGCTTGTTTGATCCTCAAATAATGAATTAAGCCAAATTAATATTTTTGGTACAGGATTAAAATTTATATATATTACATCTAAGAAGACATTTATTCCAGCAGAATATTTTACTTAGGTCAAACATATATCATAGCTTAACATATAATAACTAAGTACGTGGTTTGAAATTATAGCAACAAGACAAAATTAGTTTTCTTGATATTTATAAAATGCATTAACTGTTTTAAACGATATGGTTGTGATATATTTTGTAACAAGAGATCAATTTTTCAAATGAATTATTCCAATTGTTCATAACTCAATTGTAATCTCACTTGTTCTCCATGAGAATCTCACTTGTAATTGCCTATGTAGCAAAACAAAAAATACACAGTCATTTATGTTCCTTGATAGAGTTAAAACAAATATTTTTAAAAAAATGATGTACATCGAATAAATGTATGATAATGTTGGAAAATCTAACAAATAAAAACAAAATTTAGTTAAACTGATGACTTAATTTAAAGATTCAAATTGAAAAATGACCTTTTATGATCTAAATATTTATGTGAGATGATTTTCTCATTTTACAATCATTATCTCTATTGTGTAATGTATGTTTATGGTGCTTCTCAAAATTTACTTTATATATAAATATTTTAAAAACGAGTTAAAACATTAATTTTTTACAGATGTAAATCGTTTTAGTCTAACAGTGTTATATCTATCAAGAGGCTTGCTGTTCCTAACTTTAACCTTTTATAACAGAAGATCTCTGAGTAGTTCTAATAAAAGACAGAAAAATATCGAATTGTATGGTATTTCCAATTTTGCATTAATTCTTCAGATAAGTTGAAGTTAAACATTAACACTGTTAGATGCCAGCTTAGTGGTCTAATGGTTAAGCACTTACGCACGAGACTGATAAAGCCTGAATTCGAATCTCGCGAGGCAGGATCGTGAATTCGTACTACTGAAGAGTCCCAAAGTGAAACAAAACAATCATCCAGTACTTTCAGGTTTTTCATAGTGATCTAGCTTCTATTGACTCATGATCTCAACGATTAAACTTATTCTAATATCCATAAAAACCTACTACTGATAACATTATTAATGAAAATTAACTTTAATCTATTGAATTCAATGAAAAATTTCAATTATTCTAGAGTTTAATCTTTATGTTAGACTGTCTTGTTTTTTTTTCTCGTTTCCCTACAAAATTTTACAATGACTTTTCATATTCACCAATCAGAATTCATTAATTTTATTTGAACAAATAAATTCTTAATTAAAATATTAGAAAATTATTATGTTTACCATTTTTTGGAAGGGGGATTCATTTCACTGATGCTTTCAATGTTTATAATCTAATAAATTTTGTTTAATTGAATATAACTAAATTGTGTTGTATCATATCAGTAGTATATTTCAACAACAACCAAAATAAATATGAGTATGTTATTTATTTTCTTTATACTTATACAAAACTTCATTATAAAATTCACATTCAATACAATTTCAATAAATAATAGTAAAATGATTCATAATGAAAAGAATAATAATAATAATAGTCAAACTATTACATTAAAAAGACAAGAACCTATGAATAATGGTATCAATATTGATGATAATATTAATGATGATAATAATAATGGTAATATTATCACTTTAATTGATGGAAAACGTTTAACTGGTATGAAATTACATTTACCATTGTCTAGTTTAAATCCAGTGATTGCTTATTATGGTGTAAGATATGCATCATTAGGTGTTCAGCATAATAACAATAATAATATTAATAAAGACCAATTATCTAGAATGGCTACTACTATGAATCATAGTGATAATTTCAAATATAATAATAATAATAATGATAATATGAAAATGCCTGCATTACATCGTTTCAGTCATTCAGTTGCATCATTTTTCTATGAATCACCAATTGGTGTTTATTCACATAGTATACTTCCACCAGTATGTCCACAACCATTAATGCATGTTCATCTAGAGGATAAGAATATACCAAAACAAGTGAAAGATCGATTGATTCGTTTATTACCATTTTTAAGAGATCAAGATGAAGATTGTTTAACATTAAATATTTATGTACCACAACAAGGTGAGTATAATAAGTTAATTAACTTATTTATTTAGAAAAATTAAGTTGCATTTTCTTTTCTATCACATTTTAATTCATTTCAATTACTTGACAACTGACTTTAGATATTCTACATACCTAAGTTAAATATTTTATTCTGGTCGATAAATGTAGAAAATCTCGGACATGTCACTTACATAGGTTAACATACTTATGAATTGATGATAGTAAGATAAATGGGTTGATTCAAAGTAACTAATTTATCAAAGAATTTTGGTTTTATTCAAGATCCTATAAACAATACAAATGAAACTGCCCTTGGATATAGAAAAATCTTCTACAAGAGTCAAGTTATATAAACCTGTTTCATATCAACAGGACGTCAATAGTTATATCCCTATATTAGAAACATTATATTACCAACTGTTGTATCCGATAAAATCAAGAAATTAAAGAAAAGATAATATTCAGTTGTTATTTTACTTTACATACAGTTAAGTTAAAAACTGCGGGAAATATATCTCATAATTCTGATAATCTTCGTCTTCTCACTGCATTATCAAAATCTATTAAAGGGTCTTTGATAAATTTAAATTTCGCATATAATACGAAATATAATTGACAAGTCAACCTTATGATAACCAATCTCGTGAAAGAAAGCAAACAAAATTCAAGATTCAAGTTGTTTTTCATTCATACTGAGGATCATTTATCTGATATGAAAGTTTTTTTAAAGGTCACATTTGAAGATCTATTAAAAGATCCTAGTAAATTAAGCTAAGAAAAAAAAGTTTACTAAATGTATTAAAAAAGGTTGATCTTAATTTAAAGATAAAGAAATCAAAATATTATATTATGGCCTTTAGATACTATATATATATATATATATATATATATATTGCTGCATATTGAATAGAACGATTCATTGATAAATATCCATTGTTATCCATCTTTTAAGTATTTTGTTCAAAGAAATTTATTTTTGAAACCAGCGCGTTATTTAAAATAAGGTAGAAAAATATTTACAATGGATACAAGATAAAAAAGGGTGGAGAAGATTTGTAGCTCAGGTGGATGATTTTGGTGAACAGAACAAGCTGTGAAACACATATGAAGAAATTCGAAAACTTCACTTCTATCTGAAGTTTGTGCTGATGATGTCGTTCAGAAGAACGATGAAAGCTCCACGATCAAACCATCTAGCTCCATCAAAATAAAAAAGAGTGGATGAAATATTATTACAGATATGTCATTCTTTTGTTTATCAGTTTAAAAATTCCTATAGAGTATTTAAAAAATGAGGAATATTTGAATAAACAATTGTTTTCAATAACTTCATCATCAGGCTCCATAATATTTTACAAAGGCCAAAAATAAGGCATGTTTTAATGAATTTGACAATGTTACGTGTTAAAAATGGTAAACGTTTGCATCTGTTACGATATATATACTTTAAAACGGTATTATTTGACAAATTAGAAAGGTCATTCAATAAAGGTCAGGATGATTTGGAGTAAAGGGTCCAGTTACAATCATTAGAATAGTATTATAGCAAAAATGAAAATGCAACAACTTTTGTGTGAATAAAATGCATAGTAGGAGAATTTAATTTTGTCAATTAAGATAATAATAATAAGATATTTGTGTGAACATAATATGTAATAAGGTGTTCGCTCAAATATTCTTCATTTTTTGATTATTTTGCAACTTTAAACTTTACTAAGTTATTCTTATTACCTTATACAAGTTTTCTTGATTATTATTCAGTTTATTATTATGACCTTTATGTTTGTCGCTTTTCTTCATATCTGTCAATTGGCCTATTATCTGACCCATAAACGATTTTCTTCCTTACCCCTTGATTAGTACGTAACCTCATTTATGATTTAGTCTCAAATCCATTTTATGATGAAATCTTTTCTATCCTACTTTAGATATATATTTTCCATATAACTACATATACGAATGTGAGTAAATGATTTCGTCGAAAAATTTCTTCTTTGATTTTAATTAAAACAGTTGAGGTGTGAAGAAACTAGACGAATCAGTAGAATAGTATTATAGCAAAAATGAAAATGCAAAAACTTTTGTGTGAATAAAATGCATAGTAGGAGAATTTCATCTTGTCAATTAAGATAATGATAATAATAATATTATCAGAATGGGTTTTGTGGAGATTTTAGAAATTTCACAAGTTGAAATCATGAGTCAGTTGAAGCTAGACCACCATTGAAAACCTGGAAGCACTGGATAATAATATATAATATAATATGTAATAACTCGGGTGTTGTCAAGGTTATTACGATAAAACTAATTACTTATAACTGTAGAGCCGTATGATGAAGTTTTTGAAAACAATTGTTCACTAAAATATTTTTCTTTTGTTTATCACAAATGAATAACTATTCGACTAAATACAAATTTATACACGTTTTATTCAATTCACATCTCTTAATAATGTATTCATTGTTTATTTAAAATATATTTTGGAGGTTATTTTCACCACAAATTGATTACCCAATTATATAACCAATAAAAGAGAGCATATAAAGTAAGGAATAGCTGTTTTGAACCCAGTTGTAATTTCTTATTTCTGAAAAACTGTAGAACTTAACGACTCCAGTTTGAATCTTAAGGATATCATTAGTATATTCAAGAATGCCTTTACGCCTTACTAAATGAATGTTAGTTTAGTTTCAAGACTTAAATTCGATTGTCATGTAACACGTACTATTGAACCCTTATCATTTACAAATTATATCATATATATTTTATTCAAAACTTTTTAAAATATAGTTACTTCTTTCTGTCTAATCCTTTTTTAAACTGGAATCATGCTTTTTACAGGCAAAGATGGGTAGTGGCTAGCAGTGGAATCCAGAACGTGTGTTTCGTCTTATTTGGGACTTGTCAGCTGGATTTACCTGCATTTCAGAGATGATGTTCACTCTGGGGCTCAAACCCAGTACCATTTGCTTCAAACGCCAGCGAATAGTACTAGGTTTGAGTGCCAGAATGAACATCAACTCTGAGATGCAGGTGCATCCAGCTGACGAGTGCTAAATAGGACGAAACGCGCGTTCTGGATTCCACTGTTAGCCACTATCCATCTTTGCTTATAAAAGCTTGTGAATTGAGGCAATATCGAGGCATACGCACAATATGTATATATGCCAATAATAGACTGATCAATTGCAGTCTTAAACCTCAATGAGAAGATACAAGGAAAACAATACCAAGTGAATTTGGAATTATGTTGTTTACTGAAAATATAGTCGATTAGGAAATTCTACTTAATATGATGTCCTGACAGAGTCTTCTTTTTTCTAAAGTCACTAACTCAATGGTACATATAAAATACTTCTTAATTATAAATCATTTACATTTTTTATTTTCAACTATGTGATTCTTATATTATCCAAGTATCCATTAAGTAATAAAGCAAGATCTAAAGATTTTTTCTCTGTCATTAAGATTTATATATCTTGATTATATTGCTAAAGATTTCATAAGAGTAACGTATCAGTTTTATTTATTAGTTCAATATCCAATCTTTCTTATGTTTTATAAAGTAGATTTTACTCATATAGACACATTCAATAATTTACCGGAAAATGTCTGTATTTTAAGCTCAAAAAAAAGGAGAGAAAAAATGACCAAAACCCCAGTTTAAGAAATGAACTCTTTTATTGTTAATAATTCTATCGGTATATACCGAATTTACATTTACATTTTACACAATAATATTCAAATATCGAATTGATGTATGTAATAAGGTGTATTTAGAATCTGAATATCAAATTTTTAATCTTGAAAGTTAGATTAAACCAGATATAAAGTCAGAAGTCATTATTGTCTGGCGCCAATCTTTCATTTTTGAAGTTTTGTGTTTGTTGAGACTGATATTTTTTTCAATTTTACTAATGATATTTTGATGTCGGAATATATGGATTCAAGATATACAAATATATTTTCTTATATAAAACAAACAATAAATTGACTTAGGAAGCAATATAAATCATCATGACATATACACTTACTTACTTACGCCTGTTATTCCTCATAAAGGAGCATAGACTGCTCACTTGCGTTCTCCATCCAACCCTGTCCTGAACAATCCTTTCCAACCCTTTCCAGTTGTTATTCATCCTTTTCATATCTGCTTCTATTTCCCGACGTAATGTGTTCTTTGGCCTTCCTCTTTTCCGTTTCCCTTCAGGATTGCAAGTGAGTGCTTGCCTCGTGATACAGTTTGATGATTTCCTTAATGTAGGTCCTATCCATTTCCATCGTCTCTTTCCAATTTCCTCTTCGGTTGGAAGCTGGTTTATTCTCTCCCACAGAAGGCTGTTACTGATGGTATCCGGCCAATAGATGTTGAGTATCTTGCGTAGACAACTATTTATAAATACTTGTACCTTCTTGATGATGGTTGTAGTAGTTCTCCAAGTTTGAGCTCCGTACAGTAGGACTGTCTTGAAGATTCGTATGGAAGATTCTGACTCTGATATTAATGGAAAGTTGTTTTGATTTCCATATAGTAATAAATTTTGTAAGCAACTAAAGTTTTTTTTGAAAATAATTACATATTTTATGAAGATTGAAACATAAATATGGATCAGGTATCATTACTCATTGAATAGATCTAAACAAAAATTATATAGTCACTGAAATGATCATTATATTTTTAAAAGTTATCTGTTACCACAGAAATACTGAATTGTTTGATCAAATATTATTGATCATAAATCCGTCAGATAAACTTTTAAAACTAAGCAAATCATTCATTTCCATAATATTTTGATTTTTAAAGTTACTATTGTTGAATATGCAAATATAAATTTATTTATTTTTCATTTGTTAAAATAAAAACATACAATCTTAATAGACAAAACACGAAAACTTTATAAGCGACCAATATTTTTATTTGTTCACGGTGAATCATATGAATATGGAAGTGGCAATGCCTATGATCTGTCAATATTATCTAGTTATAGTGATACAATTGGTATTACATTAAATTATCGGTTAGGATTATTAGGTAAGTTCAAATTTCTGTGAATAAAATAGATTTCTGTTATATTTTATTTTCATTGTATTTTTAAACAAATTTATATATGATAATCAATTGATTTGATATTTTAGAAAAGGATCCAGAAATTTCTAGATAAATTTCAATTAGTAACATCATTTTACAATACTCTATGCAATCGAATCCATTAATGGATTTAAACAAAAGAGAAAGGAAAATATTTACAAAGATTGTTTCAGCTATGAAAATATTATTTTTGTTAATGTTTATTAAGTTGTTAAATGTATATAAGTAAACACATTTCATTAATTTAAGTTTTTATTGAAGCATCATTAACGTTGTATATGTGTCGTGAACGAGAACACAAGTGTATATGAATGAAAAAGTACAGAATCTTTTCTTTGATCTCAACATTCTGCTGTCAGGTATTTCAATTTCGATTGATGTTACATACTACTGATAACATAAGTAGCACACACCACATATGTATCACAAGTTTATAGCATTGATTTGTAAACTGAATCACCTATGAATATTTTCAATAGTCTCTTGACAGAATATTACTAGTGAATAATTCTTGTAAAAGTACTGATTTTCTGTGTGTATAAATGTACAATTCTAAGCTATTCAAAGGGATTTTTCAGTAAACATTTTCAGTGTTCCGAACTGTTTGTTACTATGGTGTTTTTTTTGAGCGATAACATTATTATCAAGTTCCTTAGTAGAAATAATGTTTTAACGCTTTTATTTATTCTACATTACTGTTAAGTGGTTGAGCAAAATTTTTGTTATCACTGTTATCATCATTATTATCATTATGGTAAAATGAAAAGAGAGAACTCTTCACTGAACTGATTTTTCTTTTCCTAATATGATGTTTGTTGTCTATACTTATTGAAATTAATAATGTCACTTATCGCCTTATGGTATTTGTTTGATAGTGTCCTAAAAGTCAATAACCACTCAAGTTTGGTCGTATACAATGAATTAGCCTAAAAGTGAAAACTTCACTCCAAGACAGTCTACAGTCTTGTTTAAAGTTGACAGTTGAATAAAGGATGCAAACTTCAATTATAATTTCATCATAAAGTTAAGCAAATTGAACTAAATGATCTCAATATAGAAGTGTTATGTAATGATAAATATCTGTTTATGTGGTTCAGTAAAACTTCCATACAATTCTATGAAAATCATAGTCAATTCTGTAATTGTAGTGATAAAAATAGGAAAAAAATTTACTAGTATAGAGGTTATGGAGATTGTTAAGTTTGAGCATGCGCACTGCTGAGGAGTCCCACAATAAAACGAAACGGCCGTCCAGTGCTTCCAGGTTTCCAAAGGTGGTCTAACATCAATCGGTTCATGATCTCAATCAAAGAAATTTTAATTATAATATGAAAAGAATTTAATAATCATATAACCAAATATGAAACAAAAGTGAGTAAAGTGAGTTAAAACGTTTCGCAATAATTGATTGTATTTAACCCAATTTATTTTGTTATTTTTATTAAAAAAAACAGGCTTTCTTTACACAAATCATCACGGTATCAGTGGGAATTATGCACTTTATGATTTACATGCTGCTATTATGTGGATTAAAACAAATATTGATAGTTTCAATGGTAATTCAAATGAAATCACATTAATTGGTTATGGTCATGGAGCTGCTTTAGTACATTTATTTTCTTTATCAAAAATGTCTCAAGGTAATTTTATAAATTATTTATTAGTTATATTTAAAATACTTTTGATTTACTCAAAATCGACGAGTAGTACTGTGGTGTGTACTACTTATATTGGCATAATTAGTATATAACGCGAGTCAGGAATATAATGTCTGGCAGTAAAAGATTGAGAAAATCAAGAAGGAAAGAACGGGAATAGGGAGTGATTGGCATGGAAATGGAGAAACAATGAAGTTTGGAACAATTAATGAACATTTCGCGAATTAAGTATTAGAGTATGGTTTTTCAGTTTTACCAAGTAACTCTGTAATTTTGTGCTAAATATATTCCGTTGTCCTCACCTGTGTTCCCCCTCACTATAATAGTATTTTAAATAATGACTATCAATGTATACTTAAACTACGTACAACAAATTATGAGATTGAGAGTGGATTAAGTGGATTAAATGTAACAGTATAAATGCATAAAATGTATTAAAAGTGCTAACTGAGGACTTTTAATGAAATAAAATTCCTTAGTCAGCTTGACTTGGAAACAATAAAAAAACATTATTATGAAATACAGTCAAGTTACAACCATGATATGAAGACAGATGTGAAACAAATTGGTTTTATATACAATATACTCTGTATAGGAACTCTCATTTAGATTTGAACAAATAATTCTACAGTATTTGGGCACCAAGTTGATGTGAGGCATTAACGAAGAATAATGTATCTGTAGTATCTCAGCAAGTAAATTTAAAGTAAATCCAAAGTTTCGCTCAGTAATCTGATCCAAGTTAAACGTTGAATTTACTTCGAATTCATTCACTAAGATTGTACAAATACATTCTTCCTCTTTATTATACTCTGGTTTCCAATATTAGATAACTAAAATATCTGACCTTTAAATTAAGTATAGGCGTAAATCTATTTGAATATTTAAATAGTTGATAATGTAAATGTAAATAAAAGAATATTTAAATAAACTAATTTTATTAATAATAGAATTTAAAATGCTAATTAAGAGTGATACAAACAATTCGACTCTATGTTTTATTGAACTATACAGCTAAGAGACATAATGTTATGTCTCGATAAGAATAATAGATGGTAATTTTGGGGATCCATTTATGGACCAATACTATGCGTATATTTTTATCGTATAATTGTTAAGCAACTAAATTGCTCATATTCATGTCCACCTTATTGTGAGCTTTATTTTGACCTATGAACTATTATCATAAGGTTTACCATTCTTGAGTTATGGTCCGTCTATTAATTACTTTACCCTCATTCACAGCCATATTTGACTAATTCTTGTACAAATGTTGTTTCATATTTTATGATATGTTATGGTCTGTCTGGTTGGTATATAAACCCAGTATGTTTGAAATATAATGATTTATATTGCAAAGGCTGAGATTGGTGTTCTGGACTTAAAAGTTTGGACTAGGAGGAAAGCAGGACCAATAAATACTGTAGACTGCTCATACGGGTTTTGTGTGTCACTGGCTCGATAGATAATTCACTGCTCTATAATTGGCGGTATTGTTACGTTATACAATAAACAGGGCACATAAGTCACAAGTTATAACACATGAATATTAAAATTAAGAATTAAAATGTTCCTTTCGGAATTTTTATATAAAAACCTTAACTATTTCTAAGTATTTAGATAAGTTTTTATTTAAAATTACAGCAAAATAATTATTCATGTATATATATATATATATATATATATATATATATATATATATATATATATATATATATATATATATATATATCATTTTAGGTACAACTGGAACTGGGATTAAACGTATCATCCTATTGAATGGATCCGGTTTTGCACCATGGTCAACATCACATCAAACATCATCTATTTTAATTGAATTATTAAAATATTTAAATATAACAAAACAAAATTTAAAAAATATTACATTTTTATTCAATAATGAAAATAATCATGATCAAATTAAATATTTAAATAGAAAAAAATCAATTTTTTCACAAACGAATCATTTAAATTCATTAAAAACATATAATAATGATTCATTACATATTATTGATTTATTGATTACAAATTATAATATGAATATAACAAATATGAATATAATTTTACAATTATTAAAACAATTATTTTTAAAATTAAAAAATTCTACTATTGAATTTTTAATAAATTTACAAGAGAAATTAAATCAATCTTATATAATCACATATTTAGGACCTGTAATAACAAAAAATTTATTTCCAAATTATTTAATTGATAATAATTTAATAAAACAAAAACAATATGATAATCAAGATTATCGTAAACAATATGAACAACAACAACAACAACAACGACAACAAAAATTACCACAGTGGAATGATAAAAAGTATTCACAATTTTTTAGTCAATCTAATGGAATGAATAATCGAATATTAGAAAGTTTTAATATAAAAACAAGTTTATATATGAATACAGATTTATTGATTGGATGGACTGAAGCACCAGCATCTAATTTATATTATTCACATAATAATATACATAAAATGCCTTATAATTTATTTATAAAACAATTGGTCAATGAAATGTATCCTTATAATCAAGATGTGATCAAAGAAATTATTGAATATACTTATTGTAATTCAGATATATTTCATTTTAATGATAATAAGAATGATGATTATATTGGGGATTCAGAAAAACAATTCAAAGAAGTTGATTGTCATTGGGTAAGTGTTTGATAATAAAAGTACTTTAGTTGATATTCAAGGTAGATCTTATCGGAACAAAAAAATAAACAGTTAATAAAGGTTACAAGATGTTCATTATTTATGATGTAAATTGATCTGACATTTTGTAAGTCAATAAGATCTACTTCTTTTCTTGTGTTTTTTTATGTCAACAACCCAGTAAATCACAACAGTATTTGAACTCTGAATACTGGAGATATTTATACGAGATATATCTAAATGGATAGAAACGTAATCGTCGTCACTTTATCTAAGCAGTGTCAAGTGTACCAACTCAATGAGGCTGTTGTGAAATATTATTAACAATCAAGGGAAAATCCAAAAGAAAACTAATGTAGAGTTTTTGTACTAAAAGTAATTTCATTTTAAGTATGCAAACCCGTTCATAAAAGTTGAAAATAATTTCAGCAGTAGATTCCAAAAAGTTATTTCATTATTTCTCACTGAATGAATCAAAGCAGATAAGGATGAGTTATTTGGCGACAACGAAGGATCTAAAATGGACGTGTATTTTTCCATTCTGATTCAACATCAACTTTACCTCCGTATAAACTGTCAAGAAACACACATGTCGAAAAGTAGTAGTAGTGTGGTGTGAGCTACTTATGTTGATATAAGTAGTATATAACGTGCGTTAAAAGAACGTAATGTCTGGCAGCGGAAGATGGCGAAGATCAAGAAAGGTAAAGCGAGAACACATTGGAATTTGTGAGGAAATGCACGGACAATGGAATGGGAGACAATAGATTGGTGTTTGCAACAGAAACAGTCCAGTTTGGTTTGATGTATGAATATTTTGCAAGTTGACGATTGACTATATTGTATTCAGATTTTGTTGAGATAGACTGTAATTGTTGTGCTAAATACATCCGTTTGTCCCGGCCCGTGTTCTCGTTCACTACAGTAGTACTGAACGTGCAAAAATTAAACATACAAAACATAGTTTGAAAGAATAGATGACTTACAACTATTAAAAGTATAATATATTATAAAAAATTCGAGCATCATTAAAAACTGAAAGATAATGTTATCTGGGTTACTGCATACTGTTTAACTTTATTCCACATGATGGTCCTAACCACTGTTTTCAGACAACTCGGGGAACAGTCATGAAGTTTAGATATTTTTATACAGCGCGAGTAAACAACCAATTTTATTAAACACATATTCTTTGTCAGACATTCTCAAAAATCCTCCTTCAATCTTAGCCGGCATTATTTTTGACAGTAAACGGTAGCTTACTTACTTACTAAAGCATTTTAACCCTCGTAAAGTAGCGTAGGCCACCCACCAGGAATCCCCAACCATCTGAGTCATGTACTCTTCTTTCCAGTTGTTACTAGGTTCTATTCATTCTTTTGATGTTTGCTTCCAATTCTCCGAGCAATGTATTCTTTGGTCTGGATCTTTTCATTTCTCCTTCAGGATTCTAAGTTAGCGCTTTCCTCATGATGCCGTTTGTTGATTTCCTCAGTATATTTCATGTCAACCTCCAGCGTGATTGACTTAATGTTCTCCGTGTTATACTTGAGGATATTCTACTGGTGCCGAGGCTGCTGCTACATTGGTTGTCTTCACCCACACTTGTTCGTGTGTATGGTATAGAAGAGCTAGGTCATCTGTGAAATTCAAATCGTCAAGTCGCCTGCAATCTGCCCATTGTATTCCGTGTTTCCTGTCAGATGTGGACGTCTTCATAATCCAGACAACTGAATAAACAAGGAAAGGTAGGCGTATTCAGTCTTGTCTGATTCTAGACCCCACTTGGAGTGCATCTGTCCTCCATGCACGACTTTGAAGTGTAATCTATCGTAATAATTCCTGTTGCTTTTGGTCATTTCATCGGGTACATCATAGTGTCAAAGAAGATAGAACGAAGTCCTCTTGTTCACGCTGTCTAACGTATTCTCATAGTTAATGAAGTTGATTCATAGTGACAAGTTCTATTCAATTGATCGTACAACGATGATCCGCATTATCGAGTTTTTAATTAGTGCATAAGCGATCCTCACAGAGTCCGGTCTGTTGATCTCAAAGCTAAAGGTCTACTGATTCTATCATCTTGTTCAACAACACTTTGTTGAAAACTCTTCCTCGTACCGATAGTCGTGTGACGCCACCGTAGTTCTCACACTTGATCAGATCTCCTTACTTCGGTATTTCTATGAGCTTTCCTTCTTTCCAGTCTGTCGGTACTTGTTCTTCCTCTCAAAACTCTCTACATAGAACGTGGAGTATGTTTTCAGTTATTTCTATGTCTGACCTCAGTGCTTCAGGTGGAATGTTGTCAGGTTCTGCTAATTCCCATTCTTGATTTATCTGATGACCGTATTCGTTTTTTCCATTGTTTAAGTGTCGACATTCATAGATGGGTCTTGTGTGTTATTTTGATGTCCGGTGGGTTCAATGGGGCTGGTCTATTTAAGAGTTCTATCTACCTGTTCTTTTATTCTTGAATCTCAGTGATTGGTTTGCCTTCTTTTTCCTTGAGTGGTCTCTCTGGTTTACTATATTCCCCCGCCAGTTTCTTCGTTGTGTCATATAGTTGTCTCATATGTCCTTCGGTTGCATCTTTTTCCGCTGTCGTCGCTAGGTCTTCCATGTATTTCTGCTTGTCAGCTCTAATGCTCTTCTTCATCCTCTTGTTTGCTTGTGTATTCGGCCCATGTTTTGTCTTTCTCTGCTCTTGTTCAACTACTGTAAATTGCTCTCTTCTTGCTATTCCTTTCTTGAATCTTGCACAGGTCATCAATAGAGATTCATTTCCTATGACGGTAGCTAGGCATATACAATGCTTGAGGATAAACGACTAGTGGATTCAGTTATCTAAAATTTTCTTCGAATAAATACTTCTAATAAGTTTTCTAAATTCATTTCAGACTAATTTTTTCCACATTTTATTTTATGCTTTATAAACAAACTACAGAAAATTCTAGATATATTATCCGATGGATTATACACTGTGCCAATTATACAAACACTGAAAATGCATAGTGATTTTCACACAGGTCAAGGAACTGCCAACGGAATGCAAAATCCTTCTTTGTCATCATCATTGCCTACATTATTATTCACAACTGGTGCACCAACAATAACTCGTTCGAAAGAACAAATTAACAATTATGGTAAACACAAGAAATCAACTTATGCATTATTCTTTGATTACAAAACAAGTCAACATATTACAAAGCATAGAAATGCTACTAGAAAACAATTACAAATGGGAAAAATTGGTTTTGCTGATGACTTACCGTATCTACTTGGTGCACCATTTATTAGTCCGAATCAATTAGAACCATTCTCTAATGAATATACGGATATGGATAAAAAAGTTTCCGTCAATTTAATGAATTATTTGGCAAACTTTATACATAATGGGTAGTGTATAATGAATGAACTTATGAGTAGTGTAGTACTTATTATGTTTTTAAGATATTCTTTATTTTATCTGGTAAGATATTCTGTGAAAAAAAGGGAAGGAAGTAACATTCAAGTGTTCGTTTACTAAATATAATAGATTTTATTTTCAGTGAACTTATAGAACGAAGTATTAAAATAGCGATCCATGTCTTTACAATAAAGGAGTCATGTATCAGGTCCACATTGAATGTTTATTTTCAGTATACTAAGTAGGACGTTAGCTGACAAGATGGTGCAACTATGAAATCTTCACTGGATCCACTTCTCGTAGACTTTTTTGAGGAAAAATTGAGAAATAAACCAATTGAAGGATTAGTCAATCAGAGAACATCTCACTGTCACTACACAGATCATAATTTCATAATACTTAAAGATGTTAGGAGTGGATATACAAACGAATTCATCATCTGTATGTAAAAACGAATATAGGTTTCATTTCAAACAAACTTCTTATTCCCTAATTACTAAAAAACATTGTGGCTTTTACATACTCATTAGTACCATTAATACAGATAAAACTTAATTACACTTCACTACTTCACTCGGATTAAGGCTTTAACCAACGAAAAGAGTTACTCTGTAGCACCATTTCTGAAGAAACAAGAAAAAAGTGCTGAACAGTCTTGATGAGAAGCTGTTTAGTATATGATAGAATATCTTTACATGGGTTGAAACTAAAATATGATGTCTATCACTTTATGTGAATTTCTATACAAATCTGTAATTCCCCAACAATTCTTAGCATAAAATATGGTTAAAAACAATAACTTCGTCAAAGTGATAAGACTTGGCAGAGACTGTATAATATACATTGGTGTTTCCATTCAATATATTTATAAATTATATCATTTCCTTCATCTTATGTTACCTTAATCTACCCAGTTTATCAATTTTACGCTTTTGTTCGATATAGAAACCAACTGCAGTACACGCCACACGCGAAACATTTCAACAAAAGTTTACTTCAATGGCATATATAAACTGATGTTCTGTTTTTCTAAGAAAACATATCTGTTACAAAATGGGCGATCATATCATACCATTAATTTCAACTCATAATCATAAAATTGATTAGGAATTCGTTAGAAAGATTAGTGATAGATTATATGCTCATATACTACATGATCATAAATAGTTTCAGATCATTAGCTATTCCCAAGTGTAATTTAATTATAGTTAAAGTTAATTATGCTTCACAATTTTTTTCCTGATTTGTTATATAGTGACCCAAACAAAGAATTTATGGGACATCAAACTAAAAAAATACCAGTTCATTGGCCAGAATACACTTATGATTCCAGACTTTATTTACATGTTGGTAAGAAATGAATTAATATAATCTATGTTTCAATTAATACATGACATATTACATTTTACTGTTAATTACTTATTCCTGTTGTCTCTCGTAGAGCATAGGCCGCCAATCTGGATTTTCCAACCAACTTTGTCCTGAGCTCTGATTTCCAATTGTTGCCAAGCTCTGTTCATACTTATGATGTCTGCCTCCGATTCTTTGTGCAACGTGCTCTTTAGTCAGCCCCTTTTCCATTTGCCTTCTGATCCAGCTTAAGGCTTATCTTGTGATGTAGTTTGATGATTTCCATAAAGTGTTGTCTATCCGTCTCCATTGTCTTCCATGATCCTTACTTCAACTGATTTGTTGTCTGCCACAGAAGGTCATCGCTGATGGTGTCCGGTCTACGAATACTAAGTAACTTGCGTAGACAACTGTTTTTGAATACCTGCACCTTGTTGATGATGGTTGTAGTAGTTCTCCAAGTTTCAACTCTATACAATAGAACTGTCTTAACGTTTATATTGAAAATTATGACTTTGTTGTTGGTTGGTATTGTTGTAGATAGACAATAAATACATCTTTATTTTCAGCTTGACTTCTTTATTTCAATCATTTTTTGGTTGATATTGAACTGATGTGACACTTGTCTAAAATTATACAGCTGGACTATACTTTCAGCACAACTTACTTAGGATTTACATTGATTGTACAATTTTCAGGATAAAGAATAATAATAATAATAATAATAATAGTGGTTAACATATCAATTTCGAGTCTTCACAATATTTTTCTTTGACAATTCTTTTGAATCTAGTTACATATATCGATTATTTTAAACACAACACCGCTTTTTCTAATTTCAGTTTTCCTTTATTATGGCTATAGTATATCCTAGATTGTAAATAACTAAATTGCCATTGCAATTTTTAGTTGGTATGAGTATTATTTTATCTTTGTTTCTTTTGTTTATGGGAAGAATGTTTATTATGAATTGACAATAAGATTAAAAATCCCTGATTTTCTCAGTAGAAAATTTGTTAATTATCTTGGATTTCAACAGGAGATTCAATATATTTCTTAATGTATACGACAGTTGTCATCTAAAGTGGATGTTCATAATCATCATTTGAATTGATATAACTAACGTTGTAAAATATTTCTTTAAATAAAGGTATGTAAAGCAAACCGCAAACAGGTTAGGTAACTAAATGATGAACATTCAAACATAATTTGTATTTCAATTAACTAGAAAACCAAAAATTCTGAATAAATCAACGACTGACAAAGTGAATGAACATTAAGCTATATGGTAATTCAAAATGTACATCATTTATTTTATGGAAGAAATAGAAAATATCCGTTTCTTGATAGCCTTGAGTACTATGTGGTAAGGATTGTTTCTTTTTATAATAATCAGATAAATCAAAATCAACAAAATCACAAATTTTCTTTTCAACGAGCGTTTTTAAACTGTACATGTTTATGACATTCTAAGTTGAAAATTCGTCAAAGTGTGTAAGTTATAGAGTTTTATGGAGATAGTTGAATTTTCTAGTTAACAATCATTGAAAACTATAAAGCACTGAACATTTGTCTAAACACTCTTATCATAAGTGCATTTAGTATGAAAATGTATTTGTTTTTTGCATAGTATTGAATAATAGACTGTAATTAAAGTGAATTATGTATATTACTTTCCAGGATTTATGGTTGCATTACGATACCCGTTTTGATTGTAATAGGAATGATTGAAATATTAAACTAAAATAAAATACTGAAAATCGATAATATAAAAAATATCTTCGATTAATAACTATTAATGAGACTGATTTGTTGCACATACACACTAATAGTTCATAACTAGGTACAACAACTCTGAGCAACTTCTCATACACTAACAAATATATTATTCTATTCAATCAAATACACCTTTTGCAAACAATAGTAAATATTATAAAAATCAATTAGATATCACACAACATATAAGTGATTGGCATCAGATGATACCCGGAATCAATAGTATATCGCTTGAATATAATACTTCAGATAATCGACTAAATCTCTGACCATTATTATAACAACGATAAACTGAATTTCCTAAGGCTTTTACGAAAACAAAATTGTCTATTTAATATGAAATGGATTTCATGGGCATATATTATTTATTCTATGAGAACTATAGTGTTATCTGGCATAAATACACGTAAATTCCAGTTGGTAAATTTTACATTGGAAGAGTCAAAAAGATCATTTGAAAGTAAAAAAAAAATAGTTGAGGGTAGTTGAGAATAGATTTAGTCACTGTTCAGTGAGTAGAAGTCACATGATTTGGCGACTATAAACTGAGCCTACTAATATAAACTGAGTTAACCGCACAATAAAGATGTAATCACTCAATCAAATAGTCAGAGAGACATCGACAATTAGGACAAAATTTTAGAGGATTTCATCATATATTCACATTAAATATCTAGAATCTTATTGTAATAAATGAGTCCCCACTGAAATAGTATACTGTATTTCAATGAGTCACAAATAGTTCACAGATAATTCGTGTCGAACAGTTTTATATAAGCTTTGGTTGCATTAATTACTTTGGATATGATGGATGACTTCAACCAAAAGCCATATTCAATAAATCTATCAATAAAATTTAGCTGTCTTTGAGTATTAAGAAATATTTGCTTAACATGTATGAGCTTAATAACAAACTTTCACCTCCATCGTAATATGAATAATAATACATGTAATTAATGATGCTAAATATTCAATTGAGATTATTATAATTGGTAATTTATTGACGTTATTATTTTCAAATAGGTGATGAATCAAGAAGTAAACAATCTTTTCATCAAACTAAAAACCATATACGTAATTTATGGGGAAATAAAGAAAATGAACATTTCACAATGAAACAACTCTATGAAACTGATAAACATAAATTATGGTCTACATTATTTCCACGTTTAACATTGATGGATAGAAATAGGAATGAAGATAATATTGAAAAATATCCTTATCAACAAACATTGTTCAATAAATACTTTTATTTTCTTCAGTTAAAGGAAACAGATTGGTTAAATGGAGAAGTTGACAAAATGAAAACTAATTCAAAGCTATCTCTAAATGTTGTGGAGAATAATAGATTCTATGAAACAACACATAGTGTCATTTCAAATGTATCTTATTCTGGGAATTTCAGTCAACTACCATTATACAAAGAAAATGTACGTTATATTATATTATTAACTAAGTTTAGCTAGTATTTTATTACATGCAACTGTGAATACTTAGATTTATTTAAAATTATAATCATATGAACATTTAAATGCAGTTTTTACTTACATTAAATTTACCTTGTAAATACCATGATTTTATATACAAAATGTCCAGGTATTTTAACGATACATTTCCTGATTGCCTATGTTGTGTTTCATATTCTTATTTGCCTAATTTAGTCTGTTAATACTTATATGAGTATCCAGAAAAGTAAATATGTATGATCAAATTATCTGAAAGGTATCGAATACAGTTGGCAAATTACAGAACTTGTTAATAAAATCTAACAACCATGTAGTAAATGCTCCATTTGCAAAATGACCCAGACTTGATTGTTCTTGTATTTTCATACAAATTGCATTCTGTTTCCATTCTTTACTGTTCGATCCTCTTGTCTCTCTGCTGCTAGACATTTTGTTTCTGACTAGCGTCATATACTACTTATGTCAATATAAGTGGCACACGCCACATTATTACTTTATTCTGGCGAAATTTGTCTTTTTATTACACTTTCTATGTTCTGTGTCTTGAGTTTGTTTACTATCATTGATATTATTAATATTTCGATTTCTTTAATTTTTCAATTGTTAATTACTTATCGATATGCTTTCTGTGCAAAATATGACAAATTGAACAGATGTTCGAGTCATATTCTACATAGTTTATAGATGACCAACTGACTTATGCTGGTATTTGACCAATTCTCTGTTCATCTTTAATGTATATACACTTTTAAGGTTTCATGTCAAAAATGTAGATCAAATTTATCATGTTCGCTAACATAAAGAAGAAAAAAAATCTTATAGTTTAACATTCCCAAGTATAGTTCGTTGGATTTAGTCATAGATGAGAAACAAACATTTGGTAAAGTGTATGTAAATTACTCATAATTCATCGAACCAAACAAGATATTTTTATGATATAATCTCTTTTCGAAAAATATCTTCAAGTATATCATCAGCTCTCTTTCAGTTAATATTTCATTGTAATAAAAATACATATACTATGGAGGGGATGAGAATATGACAGATACTGATTTCCTTTTATTTGATCACAGTTAATGATCACTGTATAAGCATTTAATCTCACATTCACCTTTTCCTTAATGCTAATCGATTTCTATCTATCAAGCTACAATCTAACCATTAGTCTATATGATTTGACGTCAAAATAGACTTTGTATAGTTTTGGGATAAATGTAGCTAAGCAACAGGAAACCCATGAACCTACGTTTTGTGCTGATTAACGTTCCAATTTTAATGAAACTATTGGTTACTTTCAAATACCTATAATTAATATATTTATGTAGGATATGACAGATTTCTATCCATGTTTTATGAATAATTTAAACAAATACACCAGAAAAAAAGACAAATATTTCAACAATATGACACTTTTTATTTGTATGCTTTTCTTTAAATCATTTGAAATTTGTTTCACGAATATTATTTTTTGTTATTTTGTTTATTTCAATCATCATAGGATATTGATGAGAATTCAAATATAATAATAGAAGTACCATTTGAAAAGAATGAATTATTAATAAATTCCAATTTATCAAACAAATCACAATCAATTGATGAAACTGATAAAATGATTCAATCTTATTCACAATCATTAACTACTTCAGGGAACTTATCATATACTCATTCAACTTTAATTTGGATTATATTAACAGGATCAATATTGTTTTTACTTAACACATTAATATTTATAGCAATATATTATCAAACACATCAATTACGAAAAAACAGCATATCTCAACAATCTAAATCGAATATGAAAACATCTTCAATCACTAAAGGAACAAAACAAATGCTGAGGATTAAACAAGAACGTGTATCGAATTTCAATTCAACAAATAAAAATGAATCTTGGCGAATCGATGATAAAGATAGTAAAATAATTACACATGCAGGTATGATAGTCAGAGAAACGTAATAATTATATTTGATAATGAAAGTTTTTTTATGAGCCAATTTTCTCTTAACAAATTTACATAAGTGAACATGCAATATAAATGTGATTACGTACCATACTAATTTGGGGCTTCAACGTGATTATACATATAAAAAGAAAAATCCCCTTGCTATATGAATTGTGTAAACCATTAGAAGGGTTTATGATTGAAAGGGTAACTGACTAATAAACGACTGAAATAGGTCGACTATTCATTATTGAAGGGTTGTGTAAAATATGATTGGAGCACAATTTATATACATGCTAACGTACTCATTTCATAGAAAAATCGCTATCGGAAAAGTTTAAGTTTGAAAATTTACGTCAATAATTCACAGAAAAAAAGTTCAATATATCAGCTCATTGTTCAGACAATAAACTTGAATTACTGAAACTGATAAAATAATATAAATCACTAATCATTAATTAAGAGTTTATAACACTTGACGTTTATTGAAAGTTACTGATAGTAACTTGTATTTCTGACTGAAGGAAATTCAATAAATCTAGAGCCAATTCAATGCATAATTTTTTGGCATTTGAGATGAAATCTCAATGGGAACACTAATATTTACTAATTTGGAAGAACATTTGAAAAATCTGAGACTTAACGAAATGAGATATGCTACTTGTATCACACTATCAACTAATACTATGTGATAATACCAAGTGTAGGGCTCCTGTATACAGGCGTCATTTTCTAGGGCGTTCTGTTGACTTCGTGCTAATTGTTTTACAGTAGTTGAGAAACTGTGACTCCTAGTAGGATTTAAACTCACATTATCCAATGCTATAATTGCAGAGAAGTTATCATAATATTCAACTCTGTATTAATCTATTACACGACTGAGAATGTTTTAATCATTGATCATTGACAGTAAATAATGTCATATTTTCTAATCATTGATGCTAATCGACTTCTACTGATTAAGTTACAACTCGAAATGATATTGGTTAATATTAAATGATCAATTAAAAATATATCAAGTACTTGTGAATCGGAAAGAAACGAGATTCAGTTAATTGTATATTTTTACTCAATCTGTTCATCAAAAGAAACTCAACCACGCTATACTTTACCTATAATCATGAAAACCAAAATGACAGACACTTTAGTTAAACTAATGATAAATGTTGACAATTGTTTCAAGAAATGACTAGTTCAGGTTGTACGTAAAACATTAAAATTATTTTAACTAATATGAAATTGGTAAATACTATCGACCGATATTTTGGACTTTATATATGTTACATAAATTACAATTCGAACAGTGTATTCAACAAGAGATAAAATTATATTACATTAGCGATCAAGCGCTGTCGAAAAGTAATATAAAATTACAATGATTATCCTAGTCCCTTTTTTATTAGTCCGATAGTGGCTAGCAGCGGAATGTATGATGGGTGTTTCGTTCTAACTGGAAATTGTCAAGTGGATATACCCGAATCTCAAGGCTTAAACCCAGTACCTTCCGCTTACAAATAAAACTATTCTAAGCATTTAATCAAACCGCATACTTCGAATTATTGAAAACTTAGAAGTTAAAACCAAATGGCGCAAGTGAAAAAACTTTAACAAGTTGTAGATGAACAGAACAAATATTAACTCACTGGGCCTATATCATACTAATTTCTTTTCAATTTTAGTCTCACTTAAACCATCAGTAAGTATTAGCAATGTATATTAAGATGAACGTTTTGATGACCATGCATAAGCTGAAAATAATTTTTGATTAAGAGTCACAGAACTAATGAGAGTCGAATGATACTGAACAGCTGATTTGTTTTGGTTTGAGGTTACTCGGCAAAGTCCATTTATAATATCATAACGAGTCCAATAACACTAAATATTGAAGTTAGTATTTCATGGCCGCCATTTACAACTTAAGTCAATTTGATCTGATCTTTACGCAGCCTCATTGATGGGTTACTGAATTATGAGGTGTGAACACCTCGGCTTTCACTCTATGATAAAATAATTTTAATAACAATTTTAGACATTCTAAGAACTATATTGTTTTCGATTAGATCCTCATCAGGCTTTACTCTAATATACTGTAATATTTATATGCATATACGAAATTATTCGTGAACACCTCCCTTCGTGGTTAGGAAAAGGTTACGTCAAAACAATACGCAGCTTGGTTCTATCACACTTGATCGATAGCGGTCATATAGTGGACAGAAACAAGTCGTTCAAAGTTATTTATCGTATTCCCACTAGTTTTCCTTATGGTGTTCGATCTTGTCTCTTACACATAGCAGAAGCTATAGGAATCCGAGCCAACAAGCCATGCCTTTGTATTCAGAAGAAATTTGTAACACCCTTATCTCTCTCCTGGCCTTAAGTAATAAATGAATTTATTTATTTATTCTTTTTCTAACTTTCTCTTCGTTTATTATTTTTCTTCACACCCTCCTACCACTTTATTTTCACTCAACTATACGTTTCATGGTTCAATTATCTGAACATTTCTTATTACGTCATCTTATAGTTTTATAATTGTTATCTCAGTTTCTATGTTTTCATAATCATTGACCTATTTCAGATTATGTAACATTGATTTGAACCTTTATCATTTTTATCAAATCTAATGCACCTGTTGTCACACCATCAATTTGTACTTTTCACATTTTACTTATTATGTTGTCATTGTCTTATAAACTACATTGATTGGTTCAATAATTTCGTATATGCATATAAATATTACAGTATATTAGAGTAAAACCTGATGAGGATCTAATCGAAAACAATATTGTTCACTTAGATGTGTTGTTCTAAATTTACAATAAGGGAATATTTCAAATTTTAAGAACTATAGTAAAGAGCCATTCCACAATTTTGTGTAATTCAATGTGAGACTCAATAATTTTTGAATTTCGTAGAAAAAAGCTGTAAGCCAATTCATCAATTGACCGTTGTACTTATAAGAAGTTGTATGTCATATAAAGTCAAATCTGTACGATGTCAATTCAATCTATTAACTAAATTTTCTTTTTTACTCACTAAATTCAAATTTACTAACAGACTTAATTGAATGAAAATATAATCTATTTGTTTATTTTAGATGTAAGCAATAGTTTATACGGTGTAAATATATCTTCAACCATTACGTCATCAGCGCCAGATTGTTACGCATTAAACGATTTATCTTATTCATTACACCAACCGCAACATGTTGGATTTACTACCTGTCGTAATAAAATCAATCCTGCACTGCATGAAATACCAACAGTTACAACGAACCTTTACAATACTACTGATAATAGAAGTAGCATTAGTAAGAGTTATGACAAACATTTTGTGAATTTATGGAATATGGACTCACCAACGGTTATTGGACAAACAACAAACTCGCTTGAAACAAAATATCCAATTCAATATTCCCATTAGGGATAGAATCGGGATATACAATCAAAAGTATATTGAGAAAATACGAAATTTAATTGGAGATTATTCGGTTCTATGATAATAATAATAATAATACAATAAAAGCTTAACTTATCAGTTGTTTCTGAAAAACTACTGTATTATAACTGTCTGCTGAATTCATATGGATTTAAAATAAATAACTTGAGGTAATAGACTACTTATTTCGTCTCCATAAATAAGTAATATGTAATTTAAGATTTCAAAAAATAAATTTGTAATTATTGGCAAATTAATAACACTTGAATTTTATGCAGTAAACATAAATTACTCATTTATATTTACTAAAGGAAATCGTGGAGTATAAACTGAAGATTGGACTCTGTGGTCAGAGTTCAACGCCCATCTCTTAGGTAGTTTCACAAACTGCAGTTCAATAGTTGGGTAGTATCACTAATCACCAAACTATTTATGTGGCCAAAAGTTTAGTACACAAACTTGTACTTAGTAAATAAGGTACATCTCATAGCTATTATATGGATTGTTTCTAAATCTAGTTTCAAGAGCTTTTAGGATAAATAACAAAATGATTGAAATGTAATGGATCTGTAGTTCAACAGGATATTTTGGTGATGTGTTATGTCAGCTGGACGAAATTACCAAACCTTCTTCCGGAAAGGAGTGACTTTACTTCGGGTGTCGCAGTTCCCTTTGATGACATGAACTGTGGTGGACAACCCGCACAGACTCCGTCATACATTGGTCTTTCCATTCCAATTGATTTTATTAGGATGACCTCTGAACAAGACTGATTCAACACTATCATGTACATTAACGAATTAAATATCGATAAGTCTACTGATTGGGGATTGAACTAAATATCATGCTGTAGCATGATTTGAGTTTCCCGTATTCCCAATCCCGGCAATCTTAAGAAAAATAGTCATTCCGTAATTGCGCGCATTTCATATGATTATACTTTCATACAACGTCATTTTTGGTACACGGTAGCATAAAAATCTCTTTTTACCAGTAACTGGTGGCTTAAACACTAACTGGAGTATATGACAGTTTACTATACCCGTGTGAGAAAGTTGTGAGTCAACTTATGAGTATATTCTATTAAACATCTTTCTCCTAGCATATGCTCTCTCAGAGAAATGTATAGGTACTTAGAATTCATGAACACAAATAAAAATGCAATTACATTCTAAAATGGATATATACTTGTACGCAGCTAATTCATTGATATGTACATTTTTGCAGCACACTCTCTAAAGGATCGAATTCGAAATAAGTTGATCACAGACAAACCATAGAGATAAAATTTTGTAAAAAAAAAAAGAATGAACAAGTCATTTTCCTATATTTGTAGTAAATAATAGAAATATATGGCAGAATTCTCATAGTGTTATTGTTCTATAATAAAAATGTACAAATATATTTTAAAATATTAAAAAAAAAGAAGAGAATATGACACCCGTGTAATCACAGGGAAAAAACAATAACTGAGTTTATCAAACACTATTAATATCTTCAGAAATAAAATACATCTTTTCATATAACTTTAGATATATTGTTGATATAAACCAATTGAAAAGTAATAGCAACACATAGAATTAAAACTGGAAAAATTAAAATTTTATAACGAATCGGTAACAAATTATTATTGGTTGACATAGTCACTTGGTTATTTATTAATTTTCTTTGAGAGAAATAATTTGAAAGTGAACGAGGAGGCAAAAGAATTTGAGCTTGTAGAAGATGTTTTTTAGATATTTGATTAGAATTATCTTGACGAGCAATTTGAGCAGCATGTTGAACTACTTGGACAACTTCTGCTCCTGTATAATTATTCAATTGATTTGTAGCGAATAAATTTAACCATTTAGAATTTAATAATGATTCATCTTTTAGTGCACGTTTTGATAATTCTAAACGTAGAATATCTGTCCGAGCTTCTGCATCAGGTGGTGATACTTCAATGACTAAATCAAAACGACCAGCGCGACTTAATGCCTGGGATAAAAGCATGAAAATTTATTTCTAGTAAGATGAAGACAATTAACAAAGAATACTTGTAATTCTTTTTGCAAACAGATGTGAAAATACGTACGAATGCAGAAAATAAATCACTGAACCTAATTTAAGAATAATTCGATTCAGTTGGCCACGACTTACGTATGTCCAGTGAAAGAGGAAGTGATCAAGAGATAATGTAGTGGATTCGAGGTAATGACATCAACTGGTTTGAGTAACGTAGAGCAGTGGACCTAGAGGTTACGGCGTTTAACTTCCAGCCACCAAGAACCTGGTCCGAACCCCCGTCCACCTACTTCGGTTTAGGCAAACTGATGTCATCATTAGCTCTCATAATTAGAGTGTCGCTTATACCCAGGTACATGATGAATGAGTTAATTCTTAACCGAACTCCAACTATATATATTACAATTATTCCAAACCCCAACAAAGAATTCTACATTTCCCAGCAAGACAGATCAATATTGGTCAATTGCTTCATGAATTGTTTTTTTACTATTCCTAACTCCTATTTCAGACACTAATGCGTGTTGAAGGGTGGTAACTGGGGATGTGTGAAATACATTTTAACCAACTCAGGAGACTATTTTATCAATCAATTCGACATTTCTATACAATTATGTATCAGGATTAAATTTGAACGATACTTGATATCGCAAGGCTGAAATTCATAGCAGATACCAAGTGATTACACCTATTTACTCTTTGCCGGTACTCCTATGCTGATTAAATGTGACAAGTTTCTCTGAATAAGGTTGATGTAGACGTTAAATCAGTTTTTGAGGTTTAAAACTAGCTTTTGATGAGAAATGAAATAAATGTAATTACCTTGTCAATATTAGGCATCTTTTTAACGTTTGCTTTCTCAAACATCTTTTGATTAACTGAGACTTGTTTTATAAGCTTGAGAAAGTCATTATGTATCATGTAGGAAATCGACAACAATTGTTTGGTTGCTTTTGTTCTGGACACCTTGATAATCAATCCAACTGGAATTATCTCTCTTCATGTTGTAGGTGCCAATCACATGTGACAAGTTTCACTGACCCAGACATTGAAAGTCAGCAGTAACAAAATGCACTTTAAAATCTAACTAGGACATATTGATAATTATCTGCTACGTTTGAAGAGATTAAGATATCACCTGAAGCCGACAAACGGAACGAAAGTCAGCAACACAACAACAGGAAAAGCTAAACTATTCCACTGCACCCCATCCCTGCTAACTAGAGGGAGAAAACCAGGTTTAGCCGGGGAAATGTATATTACACAAGCAGTTGAAAGTACGAATAAACAATCACACAACTTATGTGTATAAATACAGTACAAAAATATCTTTGGCAAGCGTCACAATATAGCGTACTAAAAAAAGGAACGAACCAATGACACTTAAGGTCTTTCTGAGTGGGAAATACAAGTGAAGCTAAAAGTGGGAGTTTTTGGCGTGAAAATGAGAAATTCAAGTTCCCAAAATAAAATTGCAAGATTGGGATATTTACCAAGTGACTTCTGTGGATCTAGAATTCTCAACATTATCCAAAGTCCCAAATGTAATTTTCATGGGAAATTACGTTCTAACTATAGTCCAATTAAAAGTAGAGGAATGATATACAATGGATCTCTGCTAAATTAATAAGTGTTTGGTGGGACACGAAACCTGAAGGTCCTCAAGTGAGTTCAGTTCTGTGTGGGGTAAGCGCATTTAGCTGAGGAATTTCAGTCTAAGACAAAACGACCGATTACTACTCGCTTGTTTCCAATGGTTATTCAGATGATAACCGCCAGTTATGTAAGCTGTTTTTAAAAAGTTAGATCAAACAATAATTACTCACAGAATCTAAATTATCCATTCTGTTAGTTGCTGCTACGAGAATTACTTGTCCATTTTGACCTTCAACTCCGTCCATAGCCATTAGAACTTCACCTAAGACATGTTCACTTGCACTTGTTTCTCTAAATAACAACGAGAAGTTTCAAAAGATATCAGAATAAAATATTCAGAAAAAGATAAGATGTATGATTAGATATAAATCAAGTTTATAAGATGTTTGAAGTCTGAAACGGGTGAGGTAACTTTCCTCTTGAGCGCCTGATTCAAATTACTTTAGCTATTGCATGCCCGGAAAAACTCCCAGGAGAAATAACGGGATTATTTAACTTCCGAGACTTTCACTCAAATAATTAATATCCGATGACTTATTTAAACCAAACACTCAAATTTGTGAAACTATCTGTTTATATGTAGAGTTGGACGATGGAAAGGATTGGAATTCAGGGCGCGCATCATGTCCTATTCGGTACTCGCCAGTTACCAGACAACCAATGCAAATGAATTAATTTATACCTTAACAACAGTGAAAAAAGTTATGATACACAAATTAGAAAATTAATGACATTAGCAGCTATTTACAGGTAGTATGTATACTAGGTATTAAGCCCGACCTAATTTAATAAGACGCTACTCCACTATCAGAAAGAAATAGGGTAAGACAGGTTTTAAATGCCCTGTATCAAGTGACAGATTAATAACTAAACAATTCGAAAAAGAATCCTACATCTTATTTTGATAAACTTGAAGACTTCATGGCACTTAGAATTACGCATCACTAGAAAATAAAATGATACAACTCAATGACTACATGTATAGATTTGGATACTAGTGTTCGAGACTAAATTAACTCATCAGGAAAGAAGTTAAATGGACTATAACAATACTATGTAGATAAATATCACAAACCCTGAATTACGGGAAGGAAGCAACAAATCAATTTCATCAATAAATAAAATAGCAGGAGCAGAAGCACGAGCATGTACAAGAATTCTTCGCATGTTACGTTCACTGTCACCAACATAACGACCAAATATTCTAGATGCCTGAACTGCGATTAGCGGGAGTTGACATTCAGTAGCCAAAGCTCGCACAAACATAGTTTTGGAACAACCTAAGTACGAAAGATAAAAATCTCAGTATAAATGAAAACACTGAGTGAATAATGTACAATCTAATACATTAGTTTAAAAATGTTCCATATTACGTGACAAAATAAGTTTAATCATTTAAAATACTGTGCAGATTCAAGGGCTATATCAATGCTGTATGAATAACACTTTCCAATCTTTTTAGATAAGTTATCAAAAAGCATACAGTTACTGATAAATCTTCAGACTGAA